GAAATCAACTGTGGGAGCAATTATTAGGAAATGGAAGACATACAAGACCACTGATAATCTCCCTCGATCTGGGGCTCCACGCAAGATCTCACCCCGTGGGGTCAAAATGATCACAAGAACGGTGAGCAAAAATCCCAGAACCACACGGGGGGACCTAGTGAATGACCTGCAGAGAGCTGGGACCAAAGTAACAAAGCCTACCATCAGTAACACACTACGCCGCCAGGGACTCAAATCCTGCAGTGCCAGACGTGTCCCCCTGCTTAAGCCAGTACATGTCCAGGCCTGTCTGAAGTTTGCTAGAGTGCATTTGGATGATCCAGAAGAGGATTGTGAGAATGTCATATGGTCAGATGAAACCAAAATAGAACTTTTTGGTAAAAACTCAACTCGTCGTGCTGAGTTGCATCCAAAGAACACCATACCTACTGTGAAGCATGGGGGTGGAAACATCATGCTTTGGGGCTGTTTTTCTGCAAAGGGACCAGGACGACTGATCCGTGTAAAGGAAAGAATGAATGGGGCCATGTATCGTGAGATTTTGAGTGAAAACCTCCTTCCATCAGCAAGGGCATTGAAGAAGAAATGTGGCTGGGTCTTTCAGCATGACAATGATCCCAAACACACCGCCCGGGCAACGAAGGAGTGGCTTCGTAAGAAGATTAGCCTGTATACCCCCAATCTACCCCATAATTTGATAAATTTTAAAGCCCAATATTCTGGATCTGCATGGATGGAAAAAACGTGTTGACCTTGATGAAAATTACGCCTTCACAAGGGATTCAAATTTGAAAACTTTTTTCCACTTATTTCCCAAAATTGTAAAATAAAACCAGTGATTTTCTGGATTTCTTTTCCATTTGTCTGTCATTTCTACTGTGAAATACCTCTCTGCTCTGTAGTGGGAGATTGCACCAAGGCTACTTACTGTTCATTGACATCACTGGCTCTGAGATTTCTGAGCAAGGTGAACCAGACGACTGATCTATGTCAGACACTGCCTCGCCCTCCGACTGTCCGTTTCCTGGTGAAAACCTACCTCTCATCGTCAACCATAGAAGTTGCTTCTTCAGCTACATGATCCACACTACCGCTCCTGCAACTGGGGCTCTCGCCTAAGGCACTTCACATCATGCACACAGGCTCACCCACTCACCCACATCAGCAACTCTGCACAGAACCCGTGTCTCCCACGACACTCACCACACACTCACACTTGGCGCACCCATCTCAACACAGCACACAACCTCACGTTAACACCTGACCTTACAAAACACTACCACTACAAATAAACAATTGGACCGAACTCAAATCATTTCACACCCAGATACGGGCACCACCACCAATACACTTACCCATACACAAACCACTCAAACTCACTACTCACTCCAAGCACACCATAAAACACTCCACTAGGGGACACTGCACACGGGGCCACTCAAACTCTTTCACCCACTGAGATCTCACGTCAAACACTCAACAAGTACACTAGTCCTATCTATTCCAACTCACCCACCCACACATCACCACTCACCTGGCTTCCCCCCATCATCAACACTACTCACTCACTCCTCACTGGCTCCCCTCACCACAACTTCACTCTGACTCACATCACATCACTCACCCGACCCAAACACACACACACTCACACTGGCTCACCCACTCACACCACTCAACCACTCACACTGGCTCACCACTCACTCACTCACCACTCACTACGTCTCACTCACTCACCACTCACTCACTCACTCCTCACCACTCACTCACACCCCTCACCTCACGTCACTCACTCACCCACACACACACTCACACACACTCCATGGCTCACCCACCATCACTCACACACTCACACTGGCCCCCCACTCACACACTCACTCACTCACACACTCACACTGGCTCACCCACTCACTCACTCACACACTCACACAGGCTCACCCACTCACTCACTCACACACTCACACACTCACACTGGCTCACCCACTCACTCACTCACTCACACTGGCTCACCCACTCACACACACACTCACTCACTCACTCACACTCACTCACCCACACACACACTCACACACACTCACACTGGCTCACCCACTCACCACTCACACACTCACACTGGCTCACCCACTCACTCACTCACTCACTCACTCACTCATCACTCACTCACTCATCACTCACATCCTCACTCACCTCCTCACCCCACACACACTCACACACACTCACACTGGCTCACCCACTCACACACTCACACTGGCTCCACCCACTCACCCACTCACACTGGCTCACCCACTCACACACACACACACTCACTCACTCACTCACCTCACACCTCACTCACCCACACACACACTCACACACTGCCACCCACTCACAACTAGCTCACCCACTCACCCAACTCACACACTCACACTGGCTCACCACCCACTCACCACTCACTCACTCACTCACTCACTCACTCACTCACTCACTCACTCACTCACTCACTCACTCACTCACTCACCACACACACACACTCACACTGGCTCACCCACTCACCCACTCACACACTCACACTGGCTCACCCACTCACTCACTCACACTGGCTCACCCACTCACACACACACTCACTCACTCACTCACACTCACTCACCCACACACACACTCACACACACTCACACTGGCTCACCCACTCACCCACTCACACACTCACACTGGCTCACCCACTCACTCACCTCACTCACTCACTCACTCACCACTCCCCACCTCCTCACACTGCTCAAACCCACTCACCCACTCACACTGGCTCACTCACTCACTCACACACTCACTCACTCACTCACATCTGGCTCACCCACTCATTCACCACTCACTCACACCACTCACACAACCACCACGGACATCACCACACTCACCTTCACTCACCACCCACTCACACACTCACACTGCTCACCCACTCCACTCACCACCACAAACACACTCACTCAACTCGCTCACCCACTCACTCACTCACACTGGCTCACCCACTCACTCACTCACTCACTCACTTCCACACTCACACACTCACTCACACTCACACACTTGGCTCACCCACCCACTCACACACTCACACCTCACTCACACACTCACACACTCACAACCACTCACCCGCACCCTCATACACACTCTCCACTACTCTCACTCACTCACTCACTCACTCCTCACTCACTCACTCACACTGCCTCACCCACCCCTCACCCTCACTCATCACCTCCACCACACTCGCCCCATCCTCCTCTCTACTTCACTCACTCACAACACTACTCTCTCACCCTCACACTCACTCCCATACACTCACTCACTCACCACTCCTCACACTCAACTCACTCACTCCTCACTTTCCATTCACTCACTTATTCACTCACACACTCACACTCGCTTACCCACTCACTCACTCACACTCACTCTCTCACTCATTCACTCACTTATTCACTCACTAACTCACACTCGCTCACTCATTCACTCACTCACTCACTCACTCACTCTCTAGCACCCTGTCTCTCTCTAGCATGCTGTCTCTCTAGCATGCTGTCTCTCTCTCTAGCATGCTGTCTCTCTTCTAGCATGATGTCTCTCTCTCTAGCACGCTGTCTCTCTCTCTAGCATGCTGTCTCTCTCTCTCTAGCATGCTGTCTCTCTCTCTAGCATGCTGTCTCTCTCTAGCATGCTGTCTCTCTCTCTAGCACGCTGTCTCTCTCTCTAGCACGCTGTCTCTCTCTCTAGCACGCTGTCTCTCTCTCTATCACGCTGTCTCTCTCTCTAGCACGCTGTCTCTCTCTCTAGCACACTGTCTCTCTCTCTAGCATGCTGTCTCTCTCTAGCACGCTGTCTCTCTCTAGCATGCTGTCTCTCTCTCTAGCACTCTGTCTCTGTCTATCATGCTGTCTCACTTATTCACTCACTAACTCACACTCGCTCACTCACTCACTCACTCACTCACTCTCTAGCACCCTGTCTCTCTCTAGCATGCTGTCTCTCTAGCATGCTGTCTCTCTCTCTAGCATGCTGTCTCTCTCTCTAGCATGATGTCTCTCTCTCTAGCACGCTGTCTCTCTCTCTAGCATGCTGTCTCTCTCTCTAGCACGCTGTCTCTCTCTCTAGCACGCTGTCTCTCTCTCTAGCACACTGTCTCTCTCTCTAGCATGCTGTCTCTCTGTCTCTCTCTCTAGCACGCTGTCTCTCTCTCTAGCACGCTGTCTCTCTCTCTAGCACGCTGTCTCTCTCTAGCACGCTGTCTCTCTCTAGCACGCTGTCTCTCTCTCTAGCACGCTGTCTCTCTCTCTAGCACGCTGTCTCTCTCTCTAGCATGCTGTCTCTCTCTCTAGCACTCTGTCTCTGTCTATCATGCTGTCTCTCTCTAGCATGCTGTCTCTCTGTCTCTCTCTCTAGCACGCTGTCTCTCTCTCTAGTATGCTGTCTCTCTCTCTAGCATGCTGTCTCTCTCTCTATCACGCTGTCTCTCTCTCTAGCATGCTGTCTCTCTCTCTATCACGCTGTCTCTCTCTCTAGCATGCTGTCTCTCTCTCTAGCACGCTGTCTCTCTAGCATGCTGTCTCTCTCTCTAGCACGCTGTCTCTCTCTCTAGCACGCTGTCTCTCTCTCTAGCACGCTGTCTCTCTCTCTAGCATGCTGTCTCTCTCTCTAGCATGCTGTCTCTCTAGCACGTTGTCTCTCTCTATGGCACGCTGTCTCTCTCTCTCTAGCATGCTGTCTCTCTCTCTAGCACGCTGTCTCTCTCTCTAGCATGCTGTCTCTCTCTCTAGCATGCTGTCTCTGTCTCTCACACTTTCTCATGTGTGTGTCAGAATGTGACAGGCAGGTTGTTGGTGGGTCTGCGATGGTGGAACCAGGTGGATGAGGATGGGAGGAGTCTCTGGGTGTTTGAGGCCAGGAAGGTGAGACGCTGCTGTGTGTGATGAGTGGAAGGCTATGCAGTTCTAAGTTTGGGTTGTGTGTGTGTGTGTAGCCCACTGATGTCTTTGTGTGTGTAGACCTCCCCCCGGGGCAGTGGTACGGAGGTGGAGGCCAGGATCTTCTGGTTGGGACTGATCATCTGTCCTCTCATCTGGTCCGGATTCTTCTTCACCACCCTGTTCTGTCTGAAGATTCACTGGCTGGTAACACACACACACACACACACACACACACACACACACACACACACACACACACACACACACACACCACCCTGTTCTGACGGGAGATACACTGGCTGGTAACACACACACACACACACACACACACACACACACACACACACACACACACACACACACACACACACACACACACACACACACACACACACACACCACCCTGTTCTGACTGGAGATACACTGGCTGGTAACACACACACACACACACACACACACACACACCACCCTGTTCTGACTGGAGATACACTGGCTGGTAACACACACACACACACACACACCTTCTCCTCCATACAGCTAGACTGACCATAACAGCTGAAACAGAGCAGTACCTTCTCCATACAGCTAGACTGACCATAACAGCTGAAACAGAGCAGTACCTTCTCCTCCATACAGCTAGACTGACCATAACAGCTGAAACAGAGCAGTACCTTCTCCTCCATACAGCTAGACTGACCATAACAGCTGAAACAGAGCAGTACCTTCTCCTCCATACAGCTAGACTGACCATAACAGCTGAAACAGAGCAGTACCTTCTTCTCCATACAGCTAGACTGACCATAACAGCTGAAACAGAGCAGTACCTTCTCCTCCATACAGCTAGACTGACCATAACAGCTGAAACAGAGCAGTACCTTCTCCTCCATACAGCTAGACTGACCATAACAGCTGAAACAGAGCAGTACCTTCTCCTCCATACAGCTAGACTGGCCATAACAGCTGAAACAGAGCAGTACCTTCTCCATACAGCTAGACTGACCATAACAGCTGAAACAGAGCAGTACCTTCTCCTCCATACAGCTAGACTGACCATAACAGCTGAAACAGAGCAGTACCTTCTCCATACAGCTAGACTGACCATAACAGCTGAAACAGAGCAGTACCGTCTCCTCCATACAGCTAGACTGACCATAACAGCTGAAACAGAGCAGTGTCAAATTGCTTTTGCTTTAGTCTTAAGCAGGCCTGCAACCTGAAGCCTGGATACTGTATTCCTATAGAAAGTATACACCCCTTTAACTTGTTTCACATTTTGCTGCCTTAAAACTAAATATAAAAAGGGATTAAATTACATGTTTTTTCCTACAGATCTACACAACCTACTCCACATTTTCAAAGTGAAAGAAAGTTCTAGAAAATTGTCCAAATAAAAATAAAAGTACAAACTGATGTGATATTTGGATAAGTCTCCACCCCCCTGAGTAAATACTTGGTGGAAGCACCTTTGGCAGCCATTAAAGCTGTGAATCATTTTCAGTAAGATTCTATCAACTTTACACAACTCTGTATCAGTGCTACTTACCTGCACTCCTAACCAAGGATGTCCACGTGTGATACAAGGGGCTGGTATTTAAGCAGCTTGTCAGCAAAGGTCTGCTCCATGTAACAGTCAAATGAGCAGCCCATTTCCAAAATGAGCACCTCCTCCTGGCCTCCCCCCACAACAACAATATCTGCTGTATTTTGTACACAATAAAACACAAACACAGACTCACACATCCCCTCTCTCTCTCTCTCTCTCTCTCTCTCTCTCTCTCCCTCTCTGTCTCTCTGTCTCTCTCTCTCTCTCTCTCTGTCTCTCTCTCTGTCTCTCTCTGTCTCTCTCTCTCTCTCTCTCTCTCTCTCTCTCTCTGTCTCTCTCTCTCTCTCTCTCTCTCTCTGTCTCTCTCTCTCTCTCTCTCTCTCTCTGTCTCTGTCTCTGTCTCTCTCTCTCTCTCTCTCTCACTCAATTCAATTTCAATTTAAGGGCTTTATTGGCATGGGAAACGTATGTTAACATTGCCAAAGCAAGTGAAGTAGATAGTAAACAAAAGTGAAATAAACAATAAATATTAACAGTAAACATTACACTCAGAAGTTCCAAAAGAATAAAGACATTTCAAATGTCATATTATGTATATATACAGTGTTGTAACAATGTGCAAATAGTTAAAGTACAAATGGGAAAATAAATAAACATAAAAATGGGTTGTATTTACAATGGTGTTTGTTCTTCACTGGTTACCTTTTTCTTGTGGCAACAGGTCACAAATCTTGCAGCTGTGATGGCACACTGTGGTTTTTCACCCAGTAGATAAGGGAGTTTATCAAAATTGGATTTGTTTTCGAAATCTTTGTGGATCGCTGTAATCTGAGGGAAATATGTGTCTCTAATACGGTCATACATTTGGCAGGAGGTTAGGAAGTGCAGCTCAGTTTCCACCTCATTTTGTGGGCAGTGTGCACATAGCCTGTCTTCTCTTGAAAGCCAGGTCTGCCTACGGCTGCCTTTCTCAATAGCAAGGCTATGCTCACTGAGTCTGTACATAGTCAAAGCTTTCCTTAAGTTTGTGTCAGTCACAGTGGTCAGGAATTCTGCCACTGTGTACTCTCTGTTTAGAGCCAAATAGCATTCTAGTTTGCTCTGTTTGTTTGTTAATTATTTCCAATGTGTCAAGTAATTCTCTTTTTGTTTTCTCATGATTTGGTTGGGTCTAATTGTGTTGCTGTCCTGGGGCTCTGTGGGGTCTGTTTGTGTTTGTGAACAGAGCTCCTTTTAAGTGGTTATAGAATTTAACGGCTCTTTTCTGGATTTTGATAATTAGCGGGTATCGGCCTAATTCTGCTCTGCATGCATTATTTGGGGTTTTTCGTTGTACACAGAGGATATTTTTGCAAAATTCTACATGCAGAGTCTCAATTTGGTGTCTGTCCCATTTTACGTGAATTATTGGCAACGGTGTCTAGATGGAATTTGTATTTGTGGTCCTGGCAACTGGACCTTTTTTGGAACACCATTATTTTTGTATTACTGAGAGTTACTGTCAGGGCCCAGGTCTGACAGAATCTGTGCAGAATTATCTAGGTGCTGCTGTAGGCCCTCCTTGGTTGGGGAAAGAAGCACCAGATCATCAGCAAACAGTAGACATTTGACTTCAGATTCTAGTAGGGTGAGGCCGGGTGCTGCTGACTGTTCTAGTGCCCTAGCCAATTCGTTGATACATATGTTGAAGAGGGTGGGGCTTAAACTGCATCCCTGTCTCACCCCACGGCCCTGTGGAAAGAAATGTGTGTGTTGTTTGCCAATTTTAACCGCACACTTGTTGTTTGTGTACATGGATTTTATAATGTCATATGTTTTTCCCCCAACCCCACTTTCCATCAATTTGTATAGCAGACCCTCATGCCAAATTGAGTCAAAAGCTTTTTTGAAATCAACAAAGCATGAGAAGACTTTGCCTTTGTTTTGGTTTGTTTGTTTGTCAATTAGGGTGTACAGGGTGAATACGTGGTCTGTCGTACGGTAATTTGGTAAAAAGCCAATTTGACATTTGCTCAGTGCATTGTTTTCACTGAGGAAATGAACTAGTCTGCTGTTAATGATAATACAGAGGATTTTCCCAAGGTTGCTGTTGACGCATATTCCACGGTAGTTATTGGGGTCAAATTTGTCTCCACTTTTGTGGATTGGGGTGATCGGTCCTTGGTTCCAAATATTGGGGAAGATGCCAGAGCTAAGGATGATGTTAAAGAGTTTAAGTATAGCTAATTGGAATTTGTGGTCTGTATATTTGATCATTTCTTTGAGGATACCATCAACACCACAGTCCTTTTTGTGTTGGAGGGTTTGTATTTTGTCCTGTAGTTCATTCAATGTAATTGGAGAATCCAGTGGGTTCTGGTAGTCTTTAATAGTTGATTCTAAGATTTGCATTTGATCATGTAATATTTTTTGCTATTTGTTCTTTGTTATAGGGCCAAAAAGATTGGAGAAGTGGTTTACCCATACATCTCCGTTTTGGATAGATAGCTCTTCGTGTTGTTGTTTGTTTTCCAATTTTTCCAGAAGTGGTTAGAGTCTATGGATTCTTGAATTACATTGAGCTGATTTCTGATATTCTGTTCCTTCTTCTTCCGTAGTGTATTTCTGTATTGTTTTAGTGATTCACCATAGTGAAGGCGTAGGCTCAGGTTTTCTGGGTCTCTATGTTTTTGGTTGGATAGGTTTCTCCATTTCTTTCTTAGGTTTTTGCATCTTCATCAAACCATTTGTCACTGTTGTTAATTTTCTTAGGTTGTCTGCTTGACATTTTTAGATTTGATAGGGAAGCTGAGAGGTCAAATATACTGTTTAGGTTTTCTACTGCCAAGTTTACACCTTCACTATTACAGTGGAACGTTTTGTCCAGGAAGTTGTCTAAACGGGATTGAATTTGTTGTTGCCTAATTGTTTTTTGGTAGGTTTCAACACTACTTTCCTTCCATCTATAGCATTTCTTAATAGTATTCAGTTCCTTTCGCCTTGATGCCTCATGATTGAGTATTGCTCTGTTCAAGTAGACTGTGATTTTGCTGTGGTCTGATAGGGGTGTCAGTGGGCTGACTGTGAACGCTCTGAGATTCTCTGGCTTGAGGTCAGTGATAAAGTAGTCTACAGTACTACTGCCAAGAGATGAGCTATAGGTGTACCTACCGTAGGAGTCCCCTCGAAGCCTACCATTGACTATGTACAGACCCAGCGTGCGACAGAGCTGCAGGAGTTGTGACCCGTTGTTGGTTATGTTGTCGTGGTTGTGCCTAGGGGGGCATATGGGGGAGGGAATGCTGTCACCTCCAGGTAGGTGTTTGTCCCCCTGTGTGCTGAGGTTCTTGTCCAGTTCTGGCATTTAGGTCACCACAGACTAGTACATGTCCCTGGGTCTGGAAATTATTGATTTTCCCCTCCAGGATGGTGAAGCTGTTGATCTGTTGCTCCTGTGTGAGGTGCTGCGGTCAAGGGCGATGTCCTTTAGGGTCCTGGTGAAGCTGTCTTCTCTCTCTCTCTCTCTCTCTCAGGTGTTGGTGATAGCCGGTATCTCTCTCCAGGTTGCTAATCTCTATGGTTACCTGCGCTGCAAGGCCGGCGGACAGGAAGTCCCACCCACATCCACTTCCTCCTTCCTGCAGGGACAGCACGTCCTCCAGCGGGTGAGCAGTGTTGAGGTTAGAGGTGAGGGGTTAGAGGTTATAGTCAGTGTTGGGGAGTAGTAGAGGTCAGGGGTTATAGTCAGTGTTGGGGAGTAGTAGAGGTCAGGGGTTATAGTCAGTGTTGGGGAGTAGTAGAGGTCAGGGGTTATAGTCAGTGTTGGGGAGTAGTAGAGGTCAGGGGTTATAGGTCAGGGGTTATAGTCAGTGTTGGGTTAGAGGGTTACATTATTTTGATATAGTCATTATGAAACAGGCAGGGAGGGACTGACCTGGTCAATAATGATATAGTCATTATGAAACAGGCAGGGAGGGACTGACCTGGTCAATAATGATATAGTCATTATGAAACAGGCAGGGAGGGACTGACCTGGTCAATAATGATATAGTCATTATGAAACAGGTAGGGAGGGACTGACCTGGTCAATAATGATATAGTCATTATGAAACAGGCTGGGAGGGACTGACCTGGTCAATAATGATATAGTCATTATGAAACAGGCAGGGAGGGACTGACCTGGTCAATAATGATATAGTCATTGTGAAACAGGCTGGGAGGGACTGACCTGGTCAATAATGATATAGTCATTGTGAAACAGGCTGGGAGGGACTGACCTGGTCAATAATGATATAGTCATTGTGAAACGGGCAGGGAGGGACTGACCTGGTCAATAATGATATAGTCATTATGAAACAGGCAGGGAGGGACTGACCTGGTCAATAATGATATAGTCATTATGAAACAGGCAGGGAGGGACTGACCTGGTCAATAATGATATAGTCATTATGAACAGGCAGGAAGGGACTGACCTGGTCAATAATGATATAGTCATTATGAAACAGGCAGGGAGGGACTGACCTGGTCAATAATGATATAGTCATTATGAAACAGGCTGGGAGGGACTGACCTGGTCAATAATGATATAGTCATTATGAAACAGGCAGGGAGGGACTGACCTGGTCAATAATGATATAGTCATTATGAAACAGGCAGGGAGGGACTGACCTGGTCAATAATGATATAGTCATTATGAAACAGGCAGGAAGGGACCTGTTTTGACTTCCTGTTTTGCTACAGTGTGCACTAATGAATAGGACCCTGTTTGACTGGTCTCCTCTGTTCCTGGTCTTTCAGCCTGATATCATCTACAGAATGCTGTGATGGAATAGGAATCACCTGCCGCTGCCTTCTCCTCTGAGTGTGTGTGGTGTGTGTGTGTGTGTTGTGTGTGTGTGTGTGTGTGTGGTGTGTGTGTGGTGTGTGTGTGTGTGCGTGTGTGCGTGTGTGCGTGTGTGCGTGTGTGCGTGTGTGCGTGCGTGCGTGCGTGCGTGTGTGTACATGCGGTCGCTACGAGCACAAGACGTTGAAAAGACGTTGAAAATATGTCTTTCAACCAATTTTGCTCACTGGGGTGTGCGCGGGCGTATTTGTGTATCTGGTGTGTGTGTGTGTGTGTGTGTGTGTGTGTGTGTGTGTGACAGAAATGTTGTGTAACTCAGAAGCCTCTCCAAGGCCTCCAAACATCAAAGCTAGGAATAAATTTTTTTTCTCTTTCAATTTGTTTAATTTTTTTTTGTGTTTTTTTTTTTGGGTGTTTTTTGTTTCCTGTGTTGTGGTTCCCCTTTTTGGGGGTTTCTGTTGTTGGGTAAAAAACACACTTTTCGTTTTGTCTGTGGGGCTTTTTCCACCTTTTTTTGGGGTGTTGAGGGTTTAAAAAAAATTTTTTTTCCCTTCTAGGCTAAAAAACACACCCTGTTTCCTTGTTTTTTTTCCTTCTTTTGAGGTTTAAAAAAATTTCTGTTTTTTTTTAAAAAAACAATTTCTGTTTCCTGTCTGTTATGGTAAAAAACACACCTTTCTGTTTTGGTCTGATGGAATAAAAACACACCTTTCTGTTTCCCTGGTCTGAGGCTAATAAAACACCCTTTCTGTTTTTCCCCTTTTTTTCCTTTTTCTGAGGGTTTAAATAAAACACACCTTCTGTTTCCTGCGTTTTGGGGCAAAAAACACACCTTTTTTGGTTTCCTGTCTGTTGATGGTAATAAAAAAACCCCCTTTCTTTTTCCCTGTCTTCTATGGTAATAAAAACCCCTTTTCCTTTTTTGTCTGTCTGAGGGTAATTTTAAAAACAACTTTCTGTTCCGTTGTCTGATGGTAATAAAACCCCCTTTCTTTTTCGTCTTTTGAGGAATAAACCCCCTTTTCGTTTCCTGCTTTTTCTGTGGTTAAAAAAAAACCCCTTTCGTTTCCCCTGTCTGTTGAGGGCCCAATAAAACACCCCTTTTCTGTTTCCTGTCTGTCTGATGGCTAATAAAACACACCTTTCTGTTTCCTGTCTGTTGAGGTAATAAAACAACCCCCCTTTTGTTTTTTGTCGTTTAGGGGTAATTAAAACCACCTTTTTTTCCTTTTGTCTGATGGCTAAAAAAACAACCTTTCTTTTCCCGTCGTTGATGGCTAAAAAAACACCTTTTGTTTCCTGCTGTCTGATGGTAATAAAACACCCCTTTTTTTTTCCCTGTTGTTGATGGAATAAAAAACCCCTTTTTGTTTCCCTGCTGTTGATGGCTAATAAAAAAACCTTTCGTTTTGTCTTCCACACTTTCGTTCCCGCGTTGAGGGTTTAAATAAAACACACCTTTCTTTTTTTCCCTGTCTGTCTGATGGCTAAAAAAAACCCCTTTCGTTCCGTTTTTGATGGCTAATAAAACACACCTTTCTGTTTCCTGTCTGTCTGATGGTTAATAAAACACACCTTTCTGTTTCCTGTCTGTCTGATGGCTAATAAAACACACCTTTCTGTTTCTGTCTGCCCAATTTCTTTTCCCTTGTTTGGTTTCACCCCTTTCTGTTTCCTGTCTGTTGATGGTAAAAAAAACAACCTTTTGTTCCTTTTGTTGATGGCAAAAAAAACAACTTTTTTTTCCCTGTCTGTTGAGGAAAAAAACCCCTTTCTTTTCCCCCTTCTGTTGGGGTTTAATAAAAAACATTTTCTGTTTCCGTGTCTGAGGCTAATAAAACCACCTTTTTTCCCGTTTTTTTGTTGGAATAAAACACCCCTTCGTTCCCGTTGTCTGGGGCTAATAAACCCCCCTTTCTTTTCCTGTCTGTTATGGTTTAAAAACCACTTCTTTTCCCCCTGTCTGGATGGTAAAAAAAACCCCCTTTTCTGTTTCTGCTGTTGAGGGTAAAAAAAAAAACACCTTTTTTTTTCCTGTGTTGATGGCAAATAAAACACCCTTTTGTTTCCCGGTCTGGGGGCAATAAAAACACCTTTCTGTTTCTGTCTGTCGATGGTTAAAAAAAACACCCCTTTCTTTTTCCGTCTTTTGAGGAATAAAAAACCCCTTCTTTTTCTGCGTCGAGGAATAAACACCCCTTTCTTTTTCCTGCTGTTGATGGCTAATTAAAACACCCCTTTTCTTTTCCCCGGTCTGTCTATGGTTAATAAAAACCCCCTTTTTTTTCCCTTTGTCTGGGGCTAAAAAAAACCCACCTTTTTTTTCCTGTCTGTTGAGGGGAATAAAAAACCCCCTTTTTTGTTCCGTCTGTCGATGGCAATTTAAAAACCCCCTTTCTGTTTCCGTTGTTGATGGTTAAAAAACAATTTCTTTTTCCTGTCTGTTGATGGCAATAAAAACCCTTTTCTGTTTCCTGTTTTGTAAAATTTTTCTGTTCCCTGTTTTGATGGTTATAAAAACACCTTTCTTTTTCCCGTGGCTGAGGGGCTAAAAAAACACACCTTTTGTTTCCGTCTTTTGGTGTTAATAAAACCCCCTTTTCTGTTTTTCTGTTGAGGTTAAAACACACCTTTTTCTGTTTCCTGTTGTTGATGGCTAATAAAACACATTTTTTGGGTTTCCTGTCGTACCCCTTTCTTTTTCCCGTCTGTCTGAGGGTTTAAAATTAAAAACACCCTTTTTTTTCCTGTTGTCTGATGGCTAATAAAAAAAACCCTTTCTTTTTCCTTTTTTGTCAACCTTTTCTTTTTCCTTCGCGGGTTAATAAAACACCCCTTTTTTTTTGTTTCCTGTCTGTTATGGTAATAAAACACACCTTTTGTTTTCCTGTCGGGGGGAAAAAAAACCCCTTTCTTTTTCCTTTGTCTGGGGTTTAATAAAACACACCTTTTTTTCCTGTTTTTGATGGCTATAAAAACCCCCTTTGGTTTTTTGTCTGTCACACCTTTCTGTTTCCTGTCTGTCTGATGGTAATAAAACACACCTTTCTGTTTCCTGTCTGTCTGATGGCTAATAAAACACACCTTTCTGGTTCCCTTTTTTTTTGTTGAGGGTTTAAAAAAAACACACCTTCCTTTTTTCCGTCTTTGATGGTTAAAAAACCAACCTTTCGTTTTCCTGTCGTCTAGGTAAAAAAACACACCTTCTTTTTCCCGTTGTTGAGGGCTAAAAACACACCTTTGTTTTGTCTGTTTGAGGTTTTAATAAAACAACCTCTTTTTCCTGTCTGTTGAGGAAAAACCCCCAAACTTTTGTTTCCTGCTTTTGATGGTAAAAAAACACACCTTTTGTTTCCTGTCTGTTGAGGCCCTAAAAAAAACCCAAACCCTTTTGTTTCCTGTTTCGATGGTTAAAAAACCACTTTCTGTTTCCTGTCGTTGATGGAATTTAAAAAACTTTCGTTTCTTCTTTTGATGGCAATAAAACACACCTTTTTTTTCCCTGTCTTTTGAGGCTAATAAACACACCTTTTTTTTTCCCCTGTTTCTGATGGTTTTTAATAAAAAACACCTTCTTTTTTCCGTCTTTTGGGGGAAAATAAAAAACCTTTTGTTTCGTTGTCTGATGGAAAAAAAAACCACCTTTCTTTTTCCCTTTGTTGAGGAATTAAAAACAACCCTTTCTTTTTCCGCTTTTTGGGGTTAATAAACACCCCTTTTCTTTTTTCCTGTCTGTTGATGGTAATAAAACACCCCTTTTCGTTTAGTCGTTGTGGCTAAAAAAAACACCCTTTTGCCCTTTTGTTGTTTGCTAATAAAACACACTTCTTTTTCCCGTCGTTG